CTGCACCACCTTTTATCTTACAAGAGATGAAAGGAAAGCAAGCAGAGAATTGGGGACCTCATACCACCAAGAAAGCAGTGCCGAGAGCAGAGCGTATCCTTTGGATCTGGGGTCCCTGTGCAGAGAAGCTCCTAGTCCAGCGGAAGTTTGATGAGAAGGCCAACAGAGAGAGAAAGCCTTCCCCTGGAGCTGATGCCCCGAATTTGGACTTTTAGCTTACTTTACTGTGAAGAAATAAATTTCTCTTTGTTAAAGCCATCCATTTGTGGTATGTCTGTAATAGCAGCACTAGATGACTAAGACACCAGCTTTCCTGTCCCCTCCTGCTTTCTAGTCCTTGCCCCTGGGCTGATGTGCCCCTTTTAGTCTTATTTTGTTTTATGGGCCTGTCTAATCTTTGGATGAAGGTTGAACCTCAGGAGTGACTTCATTACTGAGCAAAAAGGTGTCCGGGGGCCCTGCTCTCGGGGTAGTTTATTTCTTCTTTTAAGTAGAAAAACTAAGAGCCAGAAATTAAATTTCAGTTATCATTTTTTTCCAAAGTGTGATTTATAAATTAAGAAAATACTATACTATGTGTTTTCTTAACCACACCTCCTCTATTTGATATGAGATCTGGACTTTAAAAACACTCCAAATGTCTGATTAAGGATTTGAATGCTTTAATTCTTCTTGTCCTGCTTCATTAGAGATGCGCTGTGTAATGCATGCTCATTATATTTTGGAATGAACTAATTTATATATTCTCATATTCCAAAATTGTCTGTTCTGATTTCCCCCAGTTTGATGCAGACCGAGATGAGGATGAGGTGTTCTATGACATCAGTGTGGCAGTTGACAACAAGTTATTTCCTAACAAAGAGGCTGAGGCAGGTAAGTCACTGTATTCTTTGGGCAACAGTACACCGTGATCATCTGCCAAATTCTGGGGATTTGTATAAATGGTTAATATTTTATTTAGAATGTGCTTTAAAAATAAACACCTCTAACAACAAATATCTAACTGCTAGATATCCTCAGCTTGCTGTTACAGCAGAATGGAGGCGCTGATTTAAGCTGCCCTTCTTTAAACCCCGTCAGCACTTTCTTTGCGCCTCTCCTATGGTGCTTCTCCAAGGTGGTCTTGTCCTGTAGTGATGTGGCTGTGCTGACCTCTGTACTAATGGTAAACTGCCTGAGAGCAGGTGCTATGTACTTATTCTCTTGAAGTCGCCTTGGTAGAATGCATCGGGACTGGCCCATAGCAGTGGTTTCCAGGGGCCTACTGTTTCCTCTCTGTGCCCCCCAAGCTTATGAATGAAGGAATCTGTACTTACTGCTTTCTCAGATTTCTTGTAGCTCTCTTCCCCTCCTGAAACCCCTGCAAGCTGGGTTCTGCGTCCTTAAAACAAACCTATTCTAACAGTCCTTGCTGAATAGGGTAAGACTGGAGGGTCTGTGATAAACTAGAAATAAATAATCTCTCCCCTGAAGGGTGCAGCCAGAAAGTAAATTTCAGTTATCATTTTTTCCAAACTGCCAGGCTATTGCAATGCCAGGCTATTGTTGCCATTAAGGAATGGGCCTATGTTGTTGGATCTTCCTATCTTTCAAAATAAAACAGAACCTGTATTTGTAGGTGAAATCTCTGGCTTGTAAATGTTGCTGACTCACTCAATTAAACAAGACATGCCTGTGGCCTCCACTCTGTGAATTGTCAACCGTGGGTGCCGTCCTTCCACTCATTTCTCTCTAAACTTTCTCTCTTTGCAGAATCTCAGTTGCCCCACAGCTCTGATATCACCTCCATGTGAATGGCGTTAAATTTCTATTTCTCTCGCCCTGACCTTTCTCCAGAGAGCCAGGCAAAAATGTTCTTGCCCTGATGCCCCACACCAGATCATTATTTCTCAGGGACACCGTGGAAACCCAATCCTTCTCTATTCCCATTGCATCACTGAAGCCTTTGTTATTCCTTCCCTGCATTATTACAGGAGCCTTTTACCTCATCTCTGGTCTCTCCATCCCTCATGAACTCTGTGGCTGACATGGGGATCCTCCTAGAATGCAACACTGATCATCATGCTTCCCTGACAAAACCCTTCAGTGACTTTCCTGCAGGCTGGGTACCAGTGTCCTTAGTATAGCAGAAAACCCCAAATCCTTAGCTTTTCTACAGTGGCCTGTCACCTCGACAGCATCACCTCCCACCTCTCTCTCCTCACCCACACCAGCCTCCACTTCCTTAAATGCCTCAGGTCGCTGCCTGCCTCTGGCCATTTGCACTTGTTCTTCCTGTTCCTTAGACCGCTTGTCCCCTTTTACATCCCTCCACTCTCCCACCTCCAGGCCCCATCCTTCACCTGGCCAGGTCCTACCTTGTATCTCAGTTTCAATGTGATTTCCTCAAGATGGCTTTCTCAGACTCCATCCTAGACTAGATTAGGCCCACCCATTACACCCTTGCATAGTACCCTGTACTTTTCCTTCAGGGTATTTATACAATTGTAATAATATAATTAGGCATATGATTGTTTAAAATCCATTTCCCTTAATAAAGAGCAAGTCTTCATGAGGACATAGAGTGTGTGTTGGTTGGTTGTTTTAATCACTGTTTCCCAGCTCCTACACGGTGCCTATCTCATAGGAGGTGACACTTAAGGCCTTTATTTCCCAGCTGGGCCATTCCTCTGAACACATTAAATCACAGCCACACTGGATTTTCTTTGGCTCCAGAGCATGGTGTGCATTTGTGTGCCTCCAAGCCTGTTTTCATAGGCCATTCCCTTGCACCCTGGCACCCTTCAAATTCCTTCTTCAATTTCTCCTCCTCTAGGGAGCTCTCTACTAATGCTTCCAGCAGAACCATCTGGACACATTCTCAATTTCTCTGGGCCTCAGTTTCCTCATCTATAAAAAGGGGATCATAATAGCACTGAGCTTACAAGACGGTTGTGAAAGATAAGTGGTTTATGCTTATAAAGCATGTGGCTGGCAGATTGGAAAGACTGTATATAAGTTAGCATCTTTGCTGAGGATTAGTGAGGTCACAGGGAAAGACTACGTCTTACACAACACCATACCAAAGCAAACCCATTGCTGTCAAGTCTATTCTGACTCATAGCGACCATATAGGACAGAGTAGAACTGCCCCTTAGAGTTTCCAAGGCTGTAAATCTCTACAGCAGCAGACTGCCATATCTTTCTTCTGCGGATCAGCTCATGGGTGGCACAGTGGTTACAAGCTGTTAACTGAAAGGTCGGTGGTTCGAACCCACCAGTGGGAGAAAGATGTGGCAGTCTGCTTCTGTAAGATTTAAAAAAAAAAAAAAAAACCCATTGCTGTCAAGTTGATTCCTACTCATAGAGACCCTATAGGACAGAGCAGAACTGCCCCATATGCAAACCCTAGAGGGCAGTTCTACTCAGTCCTATAGGGTCACTATGAATTGAAATCGATTCAGTGGCAAAGTGTTTGGGTTTTTTGGTTTTCAGGAATGTAGGTATGGCACTTAGGAGGTATTTAATGTTTGTAGAGCAAATGAGCTCAGCTAACCAAAAGACTGGCAGTTCAAATCTACCAGCCGCTCCTTGGAAACCCTATGGAGCAACTCTACTCTGTCCTTTAGGGTTGCTGTGAGTCAAAATTGACTGGATGGCAACAGGTTTTTTTTAGAGCAAATGAATGAGGTCAAGATCTACAAAGGTAAAATACAAATGTTTTTACTCTTTTTCATGCCCTATAGGACAGGGTGGAACCGCCCCATAGGGTTTCCAAGGCTGTAAATCTTTGAGGAAGCAGACTGCAGTTTCTTTCTCCTGAGGTGTTCAAATCACTGACCTTTTGGTTAGCAGCAAGTACTTAAACCACTGCACCACCAGGGCTCCTAGTCATGGACCATATAGTTGTTGCGAGCGTACAATTTCTCAGTTTTGTCCTCAGATTTGGAGATGAAATACAGCCCTACCCTCAAGCAGCTTACAGTTTAGTGGAAGAGACACAACAAAACAAAGATTGCTTTCCTTAGAGAGGCGCAGATAAAATGTTACCAGAGCCTTATTTATAAACAGATGTCCTTCCTGCCCAAGTAGCCCTGCATTGCGGGAGTGTCTCTTTATTTGGTACTGAAAGTGAGAGGAGAATCTTCCTAAAACTTTAGATTGAAAACCTACTGGGAGGAAAAAAGTATGTAAAATTGTCCCAGAAAGCAATACAGTTAGCCTTTGGCCCCTGTGAAGCTGATCTGTGTCATCCTCCCAATTAAATTTAAGGAGACAACCTGAAAATAATATTTCCAAAGACCATGCCACATCTAAAACTAGTGATGCAATACTCTCTATGGTGTTCTATATTTCAGCTCCTACCTTTTTGGTACCTTTCTTCATTATCTACAGAAAGGATATTTTTGAATCTGAAAAGAAGTTGAGAGATTTTTAAATAGGGGGAAAGTGAAAGCCATACTATCACTTTTTCAAAATATACTGTCCCTTTTTGGTGTATCTTTTGAGTAACAAAATCATTGCAGGTGTTGTATGCATTAAACTTTCCAACAAAAGGAGGCAACAATGTGTACATATGTCTATATTTACCTCCCTATTTTGTGTGTCAAACCCTGAACTATTACTAAAGGTCCCATTTTCAGCAAACCAAGTAACCAATTCTGAGAGAAAATGAAAGCTATTCAGTCATTATCTGAGCTGATAATGATATTGTTTCCCTATTGCCTCCTATGATATATTAATACTGTTGCCTAGAGCAACGGTTCAAGAAATTCCATCCCTTAATGATACAATAAAATTTTTGTTAAAAGCATTTTATTCAGAAAATGAATATCTTCTTCCTTATTAGCATCAGTTTTATTGTGTGTGTGTGTTTCTTTTAACAAAGATCTTTTTATTCTACCATTACTGAAAACAGTTTTCCAATAATCTTGTTCTGATTTCAAATATTAATGTGTAATGTCTGTTAACTGGGTTGTTTAAGAGCCCTTCATGTTGTACTTTTTAAAAACAACCAAAAGTCCAGTTTCTAATGAAATAGAGTAAGTAGGGCACAGGAACTAAAAGCAAATCTATGCTCACTCCACATGAATCACTCTAAATACAGCTGAGATGAGGGTATCATTTCAATCCAAGTACCTATCACCACTTCCACTAGTCAGTGATAGAGAATACCCATAATGTGGAAAAAATGAAAGCTAAATAAAACTGACATTACCTTTAGTGATGCTGTCAATAGCAGCCACCTAGGAAGGAGCGTTGATTGTTACATGCTGCAGTGAGATGCCTTGATTCCACTGTGGATTCTTCCATTTCTGCAGCCATCCAGTGACCTGCCTCTCATCAGCCTGTCACCGCTGCTCGTTTTCTCAAAATGTAGACTAGAAGGCATACTCCTCCAAGTCCTCTCCTGTAGGGTACTGTAGTGAAAGCTATCATTTATAAAACCATTTGGATTTCTTCTGCTTAGAATTTGGAGGCGGCAGGGTGTGTTGGAAAAAGAAATGGGAGGTACAGGTTCTGTCTTCGATCCCATTCATTTTCTGCATGACCTTGGCCAAGTTATTTCATTTCTCTGCATCTCATTTTTCTCTTTTCTAAAATGAGGGGGTGGGATTCTACAAAATATTAGTACTAAAATGTCTGTGATTTTATTGTGGGAAAATATACATTTTATTTCTGAGGTCTTTACTACCCCACAATACATAAATGCAAATTGACCTTCATCTAGGCTTTGGGAACAGTAAAGTATTTTGGTCATAAGATACAACTTATAAACCTTCCCATTTGAAGAATACCAAAAGCAAAAAAATTTAAAAATTACATATAATTCCACTACTTTAAAAATTATATATAAAAATTAAAGTCTCTCTTATCACCCCTCTAGTCTCACTCTGTTGATAGCCTGGTACATAGTCTTCCCTATTCCATTCTAGCAACCACCTTACTAACAGTGGGATTGGCAAGGGCTGCTCTGAGGAGTGACCGGCATCACTTAGCGTTGGGCTGTAAACACCTATATAACCCTGCGTGGCAACTTTAGGGTTACTGAAGTTTTCAAAGTGGTTTGAAGAGTCAAGCATCTGTACTTTGAAACTCAACATTCTTTAAAAACGTTTTAAAGCTACAAACACAATGAACCATGCTGTTACTAGTGCTTAGTACTTAATCAGTTTGTTAATCTGCCCAATACTAGGTCAGTTTGGCAAACAGGGATAGGAGAAGAGAAAAGACTGTGTGAGGATACACTTTGATGTTCTTTTGGGGGGAAAGTATGAAAGCAACATCTCTGGAGGAGGTCTGTATCTGAGAAGTGTGTGAGATGCTTGACTTTTAAAAAATCCATCTTCATTAAATATTCCTCATTGCATATTCTGACCAAGAATAATTTAGTAAGGCCAAGTTTACAATGAAATATGGGGCGGTTTGTTTCTGCACAGAGAACATAGCATTTTATGGGCAGCACTGAATTCTGTCTTTCTGGTTAGTCAGGGGATATATATCTCCCAGCAGGAAAGAGTCATTAAAAGAGGATGATGTATCAATTGTGCTTCAGGAGCCCCATTATGAAAATTACCAGTTTAAGTTTGAGCCTTGGGGATTAATGAGCAAGCAATTTACCATAACCTGTACTACCTAGCGAAAAATCTATTAATATATTAAGTTACCCTGATTTTTTCTCACCTTAGGGACTACAGTGATCCAAAGGCTTAAGAAAATATTTCTCAAGTTTTCATGGGTTAGGAAAACTCAACATTTCTTATTTCTGGAAATACCTTGCTCTTCTCCCATTCTGTTCTTTGCTCATGGTGTTTCTTCTATACCAGTCCCTATTCAACCCTCTGAAACCTCTTGTCCTCCTGGCCAACTCTTACTCACCCTCAAAGTTCTGGCTCATAGATTAGTTCTGCGAAGAATCCCAACTTCACCATCACCCCCACTTCTGGTCAGAATTAGTAGCTCTTCCTTTTTAGTTTCTGAACCTAGCTATTGACAAATCAGTCTCCCCTACAGGAGTGTCTTCTTCAGGGTGGAGAGAGTGTCCAAAGTATCTTTGCATTTCCTATCTTCGCCTCAAACACAGTGCCTAGAAAATGGAGAGTCTAGAAATGTTTGTGAAGTTAATCATAAGGACAATATGGAAACCTCATGGGAGATAGTTTGCTTTAGAAACTTACACAGACAGCCTCCACCAGCTAATCTTTTCTTTCCTAATCTTAGGTTCAGTTGACCTTGATCCATCCATGATGTTGGACACTGGAGAGATCATTGATACAGGATCTGATTATGAAGATCAGGTAATTAAAACTGAAAAATATTTCTCTATATGAATGTTTTTTAATTCAAGCCTTCATAAATGTTTTATAAAAAAAGAATTATAAACTTCATTTTATGAAATTTTTACAGATAACTAATAACATTTTCCATAATAAATGATAGTAGCCTACAGTTTTCGTTCCCTGACTTTGGCTCTTTAGGCCTCCCTTAACCACAAATCCAAAATAGCAGTTAATTAAGGAAAAGTTTAGGATTGAAAGACACATGGGATAGAAATGAGGTTCTGTTGCCCAAGAATTTAACTGTGTCTCTAGCTCTTGTACTAATAAGCCAGTAGCATTTACTGAGCATCAGCTTCAGGTCAGTTCTCTGCTTTTCTATTTCTGACCTTTGAAAAGGACTGATGACCGAGGAGAACATGGCTAAGAAGTTAAATATATTTTCTCTTTGAATAAAACCAAAGAAATGAATCTGGGTCATTTTCCTTTCAACAGAAGAACTCTCCTTACTGCTATATTTTAATGATCTAAAATAGCTGGCAAACGATCCAACTCTCTAATTAGGCTTTTTTTTTTTTTTTAAAAAAAAAAAGGTAATGTTTGAAACTTCCTGCTACCTCTCACCTGTCCTCTTCGGCAGTGGCTGAAAGCCAAGTGAACATGCTCTCATGGGTTTTTTCTGTCTTTAACCAATATATGTCACAAGTAAAGCAACCAGGTATGACCAGGGTCCAAATGCAATGGCTGGCTATTCAGAAGTTAGTTTCATGAGCATGAAGTTGCTTCCTTTATATCACAGCACAAGAAGACATTGACAAGGACTATAACAACTACCACATATTTATAATAATTGATATCATTTATTAAGCACTCAATATATGCTAAACATTGGGCTAAATTTCTTATGTTCATCATTATATTACTAATTCTTCACATCTCTAGAAGGTAGGAATTCTTATCTCCATATTGTTGTTGTTGTTCTATGCCAACAGGTTTGCTGTTGTGACTCATAGCAACCCATGTGACAGAGTAGAACTGCCCCATAGGGTTTCCTGGCTACAGTCTTTATGGAAGCAGGTTGCCAGGTCTTTTTCCCATGAAAACTGCTGGGTGGGTTTGAACTGCCAACCTTTCAGTTAGCAGCTGAGCACTTAACCATTTGTGCCACCAGGACTCCTATCTCTATTTTACAGATAAGGAAATTAAGACTTAAAGAGAATTTGCCCAAAGTTACACGAGTAATATCAGAGTGAGAAGGTGAACTTACAGTCCATTCCCTAATGCACACATTATACTACCTCCCATCCTAGTTTCCAAAGGCAGACCATTCATTAGCTATGTGATCTTGGACAAATTCCTTAACCTTTCTGAGTGTCAGTTTTCTCATCTGTTTAATAGATGTTACTGGGATAGACTACTAACCTATAAGATTGTGTAAGGATTAAATGAAATAACCTGGAGCATAGTAGGTGCACAGAAAATATTGGGCAATCCCAAATGCTTTATATCCTACAATTAAGATACCAACGAGTTTCAGTGTACTAGGACAAATTGGATCATTTTGACTATTAGCTGTATGGAATCATGGTATATTTGAATATGTAGTCACTGACAAGAGCCCTGGTGACGTAGTGGTTAAGAGCTTGGCTGCTAACCAAAAGGTCGGCAGTTTGAATCCAGCAGGCGCTCCTTGGAAACCCTATGGGGCAGTTCTACTCTGTTCTATGGAGTCGCTATGAGTCGGAATCGACTCAATAGCAATAGGTTTGGGTTTTTAAAGGGGAGTTTCAGTTGCTAACTCTGAAGTCCCTGGCAGAAGCACGTGCTAAACAATCACTGTTAAAAGTGGGCTCATAATCCAAAGTTACAATTTGCACAAAGAAATGAACTGTAACACAAAGCCAGCTGATTAAATAAATGGAAGACTTAGCATCCCAAGAATTAGAGACAACAAAAAAATCTGAAAAAGACTTTAAAATAGGAATATTTAAAATATTCAAAGAGATAAAGAGAAGATTAGAAACCATGAAACAAGTGCAGGAAAGATGGAAAGTTAAGAAACAGAAAGGAAAAGGGAAGAAATATAAATTCTAGATGCAAAAAAAAATTATTGTTGAAATAAAGATTCAGTTACCAGGTTGACTAGTAGACTAGGCACAGCTTGAAAGAGACTTACTGATAAAACAGAGAAAATTACCCTAGAATAGATCAGAGAGCTGAGTAGATGTCAAATATAAGGGAGAATTTAGGCAATGTTGAGGATAGAATGTTTGGGCTGACATGTTGTAAAAGGAGTTCCAAAAGGAGAGAATGGAGGGAGTGGAGCAGAGACTGTGTTCTAACAGATAATGGTTGAGAATTTTACAGAGATGATAAAATATGAGTAGCCAGATTAAAAGAGTACATCCAGTCCTGAGTAGGATAAAATAAAATCCTCACTGATTCTATTTTCATTTAGTCATTCAACAAATATTGATTGAACACCTACTATGTGCCAGTAACTGTTTAGGTACTTGGAATATATAATTGTATAAAATAGATCAAGATTTCTGCCCTCAGGAGTTTACATTCTAGTAGTGGAGACAGATAGTAAACAATAGAACAGTAAATTCCCTAGAATGTCAGAGGTGAAAAGCTCTATTAGAAAAAGAAAAAGGGTAAAAGGATTAGAAACGCTAGAGTGGGGGACAGATAACAATATAAATAGCATGGTTAGGATAGGCCTCATTAACGAGGTAGACATGAGCAAACACTTAACATATAAGGTAAAACATCAAAACATGGAAGACAAAAATAAAATATTAAAAATGAAAAAGGATTACTTATAAAGGAATGACAATTTGGGCAGCAGCAGATTAAATGAAGCAAAAGATTCCACTTATTAAGCGTCTACTATGAGCCAGACACTGTGTTTTATGGTTTCCATTGTTTGTGTTAGGTGCCATCAAGTCGGTTCTGACTCATAACGACCCTGTGTACAACAGAACAAAACACTGCCCAGGCCTGCGCCATCCTCATCATCATTTTACGCTTGCACCCATTGTTGCAGCCACTGTGTCAATCCACCTCCTTAAGGGTCTTCCTCTTTTTCACTGACCCTCTACTTTACCAAGCATGATGGCCCTCTCAGAGAGTGGTCCCTCCTGAGAACATGTCCAAAGCATGTGAAATGAAGTCTCGCCATCCTTGCTTCTAAGGCACATTCTGTCTGTACTTCTTCCAACAGAGATTTGTTCATTCTTCTGGCAGTCCATGGTATATTCAATATTCTTTGCCAACATCATAATTCATATGCATCAATCCTTCTTTGGTCTTCCTTATTCACTGTCCAGGTTTCGCATGCATATGAGGTGACTGAAAACACCATGGCTTCGATCAGGTGCACCTTAGTCCTTAAAGTGACATCTTTGCTTTCAACACTTTTATTAAAAAGGTCTTTTGCAGCAGATTTGCCCAATGCAGTGCATCATTTGATTTCTCAACTGCTGCTTCCATGGGTGTTAATTGTGGATCTAAATAAAATGAAATCCTTGACAACTTCAGTCTTTTCTTCATTTATCATTATGTGATCATATGGTTTCCATAAATTAACACTAATCCTTACAATAACTCAAGAAGGTAGCTCTGTTTATCTGCAATTTACAGATGACAAAATTGAGACTCATAGAAATGAAGTGACTTCTCAAAGTCCAGTTTCTACTTTCATCACTCCAATAAAACCATTATCAAGTTCACTACTAAGCCATGGCCAATTCTAGTTAACACTTTTTAGTTCTTATTTTTCTTGACCTTTTGTTGCGTTTAAGATTGTAAATCAGGGGTCAGCAAACTTTTTCTGTAAAGGGCCAGGTAGTAAATATGTTAGGCTTTTCGGACCATGTATCTCTGTTGCCATTACTCAGCTCTGTCATTGTAGCACAGAAGTAGCCATAAACAATACATGAACAAATGAACATGACTGTGGTCTAGTTAGGAATCTGGGTAGCGCAAACTGGTAATGTGCTTGGTTGTTAACTGTAAGATTGGCAGTTCAAACCTACCCAAAAGCTCCTCAGAAGAAAGGCCTGGCAATCTGCTTCCAAAAGGTCACAACCTTGAAAATTCAATGGAACACAGTTCTGCCCTGACATACATGAGGTTCCCATGAGTTGGAATAGACTTGACAGCAGCTAGTTTAACTGGGATTCCAGTAAAACTTTATTTATGGATGCTAAAATGTGAATTTCATATCATTTTGATGTAATTTTTTTCTAATCATTTTCAAATGTAAAACTCATGTTCAGCTGTACAAAAGTAGGCAGCAGTGTAGATTTGACCTGTGGGCTATAGTTTGCTAACTTCTGCTATAACCATTTCTCTGTTCTTGACATTCTCCTCTCCATAAGATGACAGAATTTCTAGAGTATTTAATACTATTCCAAGTGCCTCACACTCATTACGTCATTTTATCTTTGGACAACTACATAAAGTAGAAACTGAGGCACGGAGAAATTAAGCCATTTATTGAAGGTCACACAGCTGGCAAGAAGTAAAGCAAAGGTTCAAACACGGCAGTCTGCCTTCAGTGCCAGGATTAGGAAAAATAGGCTAGGCTGTGCTGCAATAACAAATAAAACTCAAATCTGAGTGCTTTCCTTCTGGAGGTCCTTTTACACGTGACTTCAAAGGGATCATGGATGAGAAGGAAAAGAGTGTGAAGGATCAACTGCTCTTAACCTCATGTTGCTTCCTCTCACATTCAATTGGTGACCCTAAGTCACATGGCTCTACCTAAATGCAAGGAGGCTGGAAAGTGGAGCTTGCTTATGTGCCCAGGAAGGGGGAGATCGGTTTGGTGAGCATAGAGCCGGCCTAGGCCGCAAAGCTGCTCTTAACCATATGCTGCAGCTTCTGCCTCCATGTGTTCTCTTTCCCAACATTCCTCCTACTTTTCGAGTCACTCTTCTTTGATTTCCTTGCTGAGCTCCTCTCCATTGCTACATTATTTAAATAAGAGTGCTCCCCAGGATCCTGGCCACGGC